CGGCCCGCAGCAGGGCGACGCCACCCGTCGGCGTGTCGTCGTGCGCCGCATGGGCAGCGAATCGGACCGATTGGCAGATATCTCTGACTGGCGCTTGGGCGCGACGACGTTGTCGACGGGGAGGATTGGGGACGGGGGCCGAAGAGGGGGAGCGGCCACGCTCCGCGATGGCCCGGACGCTGGGCCCGGGCGATCTTTGCAGGAATTGGACCGGAAATGCGATTGCGCTGAGCGAAGGCCCGGCAGGGGCGGCCACCCCGTCGGGCCACGCGCCCGCCGCTCCGCGGCTGCGTCCGGGCTCGTCGACCGGCACGGCCGTGCCAAACCTTCGGACCGGCAGTGCGTTACATTTGACCATCTGTTGCAACGATTCGATCGCTCCAACGTGGGCGATGGAGCGACAGGGCGGCGAGCTGTCGGGCCTGCGCCGGGAGGGGTTCCCCTGCTGCGCTGTTTTGTGCGGCTTGACGTGTTTGGCCAACCCGTGGGCGCGTGTGTGTTTGTGTGTGCGCCCGTTGGCAGGCCGCCTTGGATGTGCGTCGCCCACCAAGGATCCGGACGGCCCCCCACGGGGCGGATGCGACACTGTATGAGGTGCTGGACGCAGGTGTGTGGCCACGGCGGACGTGCGCGGCTTCAATACACTCGTACTGGCGATCGCGGAGGGGCAAGGGGCCTGTACCGCACCCGAATGTGTTTCCCATCACCCCCCGCATCTGCCCAGCCTATGTCGTAATTGCGTCATGCCACGCCCAAGGACACGCCAGGCGCGGCATGTGGTGTGAGTGGGGCGGTGACTGATCGCCTCAAAGGGGATGGGCGCTTACTGCACGCGTGTGATGTGGGTGGGAGTGTCACCACTAACACTAGTTGGACCAGTAAAGAGGCGCCACACGGCGACGGTGTGCCGTGAGTTATGCCTTGTTATGGCCTTTTGAGATCGGTCTGACGTGCTTCGATAAGAGGGAGGGGCGTTGACGTCCGCGGCCCGCGGGGCCCAAAGGGCAACGTTCAGTACATCCCTCTCCCTGTCCCGTACCCGATGATGGATGTTCAGTACGTTCGCATGGACATCGGGGCGCCGGTGTTGTAGCGCGTGACGTGGATGTGCAGTGACGTCACCCTCCAACGGTGGCTTCGCCTTTTGACGGCCCCTCGGTCGCATGTACAGCGTCCTGTTCTGTCGACGGTACCGACGGTACATACCCCACAGCGCTCCCCCCGTGCTTTGCGGGCACTTGTTTGTATTTATAGTGCTTGTATGTACGCCTGCACATATCTGGTGGTCGCTTCTGTCCATTTTCAGCGACGGAGTTACTTCAGGCTGCTGGGCATGGCGACTGGCTTTACCGGTTCACCCCAACATACGCCATTAAGCGGGAGTCCTTGCGCACAAAACATACATGGGTGCACCATATTTCATGGCCCCGAAAGCAAACTAAGTCAGATAATTTAAAACAAACTAATTTACAGAAAACCAATTTAAAGCAAATTAGCTTACAGCAAATTAACTTGAAGCGAATTACCTTTCTCTCCCGATGCGCAGTGCCTTTCACACCGTCGATGGGAGTCTGCACCCCAACGCCAACGAACTGGGCGGTCTTCCATCAGCATCGGCATCAACACAACTGGTCCGCATCGTCCGTGCCGGTGAGAGCGCGTGCAGTGGCCGAGGAAACGCTGGTGAAAATGGCACCGAAAACAGTGCTAGTGACAACTAATTTTGGTCGCGTTCCAACACAATTGGTACGCGGCCAGCAATGTGGCAAAATGAATTAAAATCTGCGAGAATGGTCGGTGGGTGAATGTTGACAGAAGGTTCAAAGATTGTTGATGGATTGCCAACCGAATCTCGGCAGCGCGCTAATGAGATCCGGAAGAATGGTGCGCGTCGTCCATGAAAGCTAATGTGTCGGTGCCTGGAACGCCAAAGGAACGTTCCACGAAGCTGCTAGTGCGCCGTCAAGCAGTTGCGCAGCAGGCCAGCTAGCATATCTGCAGCCAGCGGAGTGCTGAGCCATCTGCAACGTCGCCACATGAATTGGGCAATGAACATTAAGCAAATAAATACACACCAACGATGACACAAAATGCAGCAGCATTGCGGCCTCTCGATGCCACGTTACAAAGCACACGAGCAGCCTCATCTCCCCTCTTCCCCATGTCGCAGGAGTCGGCAACATCCCGCTTCAATGCCGGCGACGTGCCAGTCTCGAGCGTTCCGACGTTCGGGACAGGGCACCCGGAGAGTGGCGGGGGGTGGGATTACCACGCCCTGCCCACGTGCCCGCTGTCTCCGGGATATTATCCGATGGGGTCGTTCTCGCCGCCACAGCCACCGCCACAGCCTCCTCCGCAGCCGTCGCCATCGCCTGAGCGCTGGCTTTCCCATTCCACATCACCCATGACACCACCAGGTAGGATGTTTTCCTAAATTCTTTGTGTCAGGACCTGAAAGGTATGGAAGTTCAGAGTGTTGGATATCTTAATTCTTGAACCCAATGCCTAGAAGGCCGCAATCCTGAGACTAAACCTTGACCGTAAACTCAGCGAGCGAGCGTGAATTCTCTTGCCCTAATGACCTTTATAATCATTATTTATTTCATCCTCTTGGTGCCTCAATGTACAGAATTGGAGCGCGTCGAGCTTTGCATTGATACTTACAAGATTTTCAGGTAATTATTTACTACATTATAACAAAACTAATATTTATGCAATTAAAATTTTCAGGTATCACTGCGCAGCTGAGCGGCTTGTCCTACTAACTAAAGTTCGCTCTTATCGAAATCAGTCGAATATTGAAAACCCCGTCCTTTAATGTTATTTAACGTCCAGTTGTCGGTCAGTGACATGCTCACTATCTTGAAGCCTAAACTTGACCTCCTAGGTTGACATGCATCAGGAATTTCGCCTTTGTTCATTGGGCACAATGGGGTATCTAAAATTCTTGCTAGGTCAAAAACAGCGTTAAACAGCGTTGGACATTGTCGGTACTTGGCAGCAGTCATGGCCAGAATTTCGTCGCCTGTGCTGACACGCACTGGACGCTTCGCCATTTCCGTTGAGCGCGTGGATTTTCACAGTATCCGAATATCTAAGATACTTAGAAGTGTCTTAGATATTCGGATAGTGTTTGTAGTGTGGGTTCCAATTTGGAACATTTTAGAAGCAGAAACAGGAAACGATAGGCTGCTGTTGATATTCTACGCCTGTCGCCGCCAGCTCTTATCAGAGTTTTCCGGTTTGCTACCCGCCACAGTGATATCTCTATATTGAGGCTGATCGACGACTTTCCATGTTCAGGGGTGCCGCCGTACGCCCCGTGGACGTCGCACAGCCCACCGAGTCCCCAAGCGGTACCGCAGCAGCCATGGATTTCGCCCCTCATCGCAGGGGGATTCCCAGGGGTAGGGTCAAATCGCTGACAAGAACGGCAGCCGTATACTGCTTGGCTGCCTTGGCTTGTCGCAAAGCACTGTGGGAATATTTTGCTGCAATATATTGTGAATATAGATACTATATATACTGAATATATACTGAATATATTGTGTGGCATCAGGATATCAACACGACCTTAGAAATATTTTTCTAGTCCGCGGGAAGCGGCTGTACTCTCAGGCGCTGCGAAGTTTGGAAGCTTCCATCGGGGTTTGTACTCTGCACTGGCGAAAAAAGGAACAAACAACATTTTTTGCGAAAAAACATATCTGCATTTCGTCAATGCTGTGCATTATAAAAGCACTAAAATAACCCAAGCCCGTAATTCTTATGCACGTTTAAAAACGTGTATTTGGCCCTTTTACCAAGTGCTATGCATCTGTCTGCATAGAAGCTCGTTTCCATTCTTTCTCCCAGCTAGGTCCTTAGCATAGAAATGCGGTGGCGATACCTTATATTTTAGTCATGGATGTCGATGAGAGTGCTTGAGCAAGGTAAGAGGTGGATAGAGCGGGTCAAATGCATCCGAATTCCATATTAAAGACGCAGATCGTTGGCTTTTATCCCGCATGTTGCCTGCGTTATTGTAAAGACAATATGCTATGGATACTGCTTATTCTGTGTGACTTATTGTGTAAAATGTGTAACACGAACCGTCGAAACAACAAAAGAATGCTAGCATGTGATGACATCGACTTGAGTACCAAGCATGCAATTGATGAACCAATTTAAGAAAGACATTATTTTGATTTAGGTGTGTTTGCCGTAAAATGGAAGATAGGTGCCGGTGAGTCCAGGGCACTGAGCTGGAGGATTATGTTATGGCGCCAGAATCAAAATTAGATGGGAAGATGCACAGAAATGCCGCTGATCGGCTGCCGAGACCTCATGTTTGTGGCAAAGCCTCCTTCAAACTTTTAATCTTCGAGGAATTCCTTAGAATATAATACATTAAATACTTTCACTAGCAAAAAAAGGACCAAATAACACATCTTTCGAACACACATATGGGCATTTCATCAGTGTTTTGCATGCTGAGAACATGGAAAAAACCCCAAACCCGTAAACTTTGTACACGTTTGAACACGCTTTGTCTGGCCCTTTTTCCTAGTGCTTTTGGACTGTTCTAATCGCTAATCATGGCTATTAGCTTCCCATTTTTCAATCACTACGTTCGCTACAGTTTTATATGGGTAATCCCTGAAAACAGGTTTTGAAGCTGTACGGCATTGAAAGGTAACGCTGCTGATTCATCCTGGCATCGAAACAAGAATTTAAGCTAAGTTGTGGGAAAGTGGGGGCGTCTGGGTGTGGCGTCAATTTTACGCCAAGCGTACCAACGTTGAAATTGTGTCCCTTAAAAAAAACAGCAAAATGAAAACTACATAAAATCCCCATGTCCGTGCTGCAGGAAGCGCATTTTTCCTCACAAACACTCAAAGCTTCCCCTGACCAAAGCAAGAAACGAAGCTTCGGGCGGCGCTCTCATTCTTCGCGATTTCACGCCACATCCATTTCCCCTCACTCGACGCTATCGCTGTCATTCGTCAATAGTTTATTCAATGAAGATGTTCCTCACACTCCGCATTCCCACTCCCCAGTCCTACTTCCCGCCGCCCACCAGCGTTGGGAGCATCTGGATCCCCCACGACAAGCAGCTCTTCGGCCCAGCTGGCCCCGGGGTCCCAAGCGCCGCCCCGCCGCTGATGGGCCCATCCCAGGCGGGGCGCTCTGGACCGCAGCCGGCCGATCAACCCGAGGAGCAGAAGTCGTCGCCGAAGGAAAAGAAGGGGAAGTCCAAGGGGCAGCAGTGCCCGGAGGTGGGGCCCAACGGGGAGCTGAAGCTGAACGCGAGGTGGGGGAGGATCTGCGAGGTGGCCCGTGGCGCGCGAATTACATTGCGTTTATGTACAAGGCAGCAGAATGTTCTTTATTTTCATATCTGCATGATACGTTGTATGCATATTTGTAGGATATGTGGTTTAATTTTCGAGCGCATGTGTGCACATCAGCGTGCCATGTGTACATTAAATTAGCTGTGGATAGTTGTGCAGCAAAAGATTCACATGCGCATTTGCAAGAGAACGGGAGATGTGCTGGCGTTGCGCACGGAAGTATTGGCTGCGCCATTTGGAGGCGTCACCGCAGTTCATTGGCCGACGGCGCACACATGGCATATTTTTCATGCCTGTCAATAAAAAAAACGTTGCGAATTGTGCCACTGATTGATTAAATCTACCGTGCGCCAGTATTGTTGGGGACAGCCTGGCGGAAAGCTGAAACAGAACATTTCCTGCAAAGAGCACGTTGCCTGGCTGGTCAAGGACCTTTCTTTGGCGCATTTTCCATCGGCAGTGGATGCTCGGATATCGGCAGTCGGCAGAATTTGGACACGACCGCTTCAGTATCTTGCGTTAACATCAACGACACCTGTAATGGTGCTTTTCTCCGGGTCGATGTGGTACTGGCGAATGCTTCACTGCATTAAATAATGCGTTCAGTAGTACATGTATTTGTGGAAGTCCTGAGACGGTAAGAGATTACGTAATTGTCACAAATCGTCATGGGGAGGAAAGATACCCAGAAACGCCGCATATCGACTGCAAATCACCCGTGACTTGCTCGAAAACATGCCACAAGTGTTCAATCTTCGAGAGAGGGCTTAAAGCGCATCAATGTGCAGTCATTGGGGCATCCAGACTCGCTTATCATGGCCTCGCTTATCATAGGAGGAAAAATCCCTTTTTCAACGCATTGAAATCAATGCAAATCACAACATTTTTCTTCCTATAAATCACCCAGGAACTGTATATCAGTGTTATGTAATGTTGTTGAGTCATACTAGCATCGACATAAGGATTGAAGGTAGGGGAAGTTGTTCTGAGTTTAACATCAAAATGACGTTAAGTGTACCAAAAGTGACATAGCGTCTTCCCTTGTCTACTGATTGACTGCATGGCACACCGTTTGCACTGTTTTGGCGAATTCGCTGCCTCAGCGTTAGCGCAGTAGTGGCTATCGCACACGCGCGTAGGGTGTCACATGGACACCGGCGTGTCATCCAGCGTTCGCACATACTTTGAAACAACATTTTCTATTCCGCGACACAAAGGCATCCTGCACAGCGTGCAAGTCGGCATTCATAGGGACATGCATGATCCATTTTACAGCTCATTGATTGCTTGCCATGAAGTTTATGAACTGGTTGCCTGGGGAAGTTGTCTACTCCTCTGTCCGCTAAAATGCCATTTTATTCTGATCTGCTGAATGCATGTGAGTTCTTGACTGATTTAATGGTTGATGGCCGGGTGCACAGGCAGAGGCGGACGTTGCGGAGGGCACAGGAGAGGGCCTTGCAGGGCCTCGATCAGGCGATTGCGCGGCTGAAGAGCGGGACTCCAGAGTCGGCAGCATCCAACACCACGTGATCGCCAAGTTGTAAGCGAGGTCGCTGGAATATGATTTTCAAAATTCGAGCTGTGGCTGACAGGAAGCGAGACAGACAATGCAAGCTTTCACCTATGATGTATGAGGACGTTAATTCATGAAATACTGGACGTACAAATATTCCAATACGTGGAAATGGGCATGGTAGACGCATTTTGGAAGCTGCTTGCAGGTTTGCGGACTTCCCTAGAAAATAGATGTCAACGGCAATAGCACCGGGCGGTCTCTGCATTGAAATGCCACATGTCATCAGACCACCGAAATGCTCCTTGGTGTTATGTGTAACACTTTACAATATTTTCGCGGTTTATGTACAGCCATATCAGCAATTATATCAGTAATTAAATATTTGGTCACATCGCAACACATCGCGAACGCACACCAGATCTATGCAACGGACCGGTGCATCCATGCAAGATATAGCCCGGGGAACGTTTGGAGTTGAAGCAATACAAGACACCGTTAGTTTTTCCCCATTCGTTCGCTACTACGTCATTAGCTCCCTTGATTGATTCTGTTTCGACATTATACTTTGAGTATGGCTGGAGAACGGCGCAAATACCACGATATTAATAAATTCTATTTGCATCAGTTTGTGAATGGCTCCTGCTGTTCAAAATATTTGCGCATGTGAATTTCCAGTGTCTGGTTCGCCAGGGGTTTGGGGGGTGGGATGGGGTGAGACATTTTGCGTGATGAATTTTATGTAAGGCAGATAATTATGAGATCAACATGGGTGACGGAGTTTTGTGAGGTGGGCAAAGATCCTTCAGAGCTGTGGAAGTGAAGAAGCCTGTCGAGGCACATTGGGGCTTGAAAAAGACGTTTTGCAATGCAGCAGCGATGAAATTTGTCGGTTCATTGCATTTTGAGAAAGGCAAAGGACTCATTATTGAGCAGTACACAATGCCGTCATGTTAGCGAAATCAAAACGATGGCATGGAGATCTCGAAAATTGGGAAATTTGTATCGTCGCCAGCACCAATTCGTGAATTACTAGTAGCAGAAGTTAAATTGCTGAAGCTTCGTCATCTCTGGTGTGCCAGGTGCTTGGCTGGTGTGCTTAGCTATTGGAATTTCGATCAGCGGACATCGTTGAAAAGCACCACAGAAGGCGCTCTGCAAAGGCGGTGTCCTGAAACGGATACGAAAAAAAAACGTTATTCGAACAGGAACTGGCAACACTTTTTTGGTCTCGTCGCGGGAGGGCCGACGCCCACTGTTTTTTGTACTTCTTGTTGGGTGGGGATTTATATAAAGAGAATCAACGCGCGGTAGCGATCTGGAGGGCCTCAAAACTGAACAGAGTTGCCTTGAGAACCGTGCGGAGGGATTGGCGGAGGGCGCGTGGGGCGGACATTCAAAGAAGTTGTGCTGGACAAGGCGAAGCGGTAATTTTGAAGTGGCGAAGGGACGCACGGGGAGGTGGATGCCGCGCCTCGGGCGGCGCTAATGCCCCTTGCAAGCCCCTTGTCTTCGGGCCCGGATCCGCCAGTGGGCGCTGATGCCGCCCGTGTCGACATCAATGACGCGTAGAGTGGACATGTCGAAATTGTCGACACCCGCATCAGCGCCTTGGCCTTGCCGACATCCACGCCGCATTGTTCCGATACCTGAGACGTTTTGGCTCCGAATTAGCTACGCATCGGTTTCAAAACCAGTGGCATGTACTTTCGGACGCCAGCGGCGTATTGGCACAGATTCTGGCGGTGCGAAGGCCGAAGAGCGCCTTACTGCCTTCGATGCACCGAGATGGCAAAATATCGGAGAGGGGGAGGGAGGGGACTGAACGGTAACGGACATTTAATTGTGAAGGGGCGATCCGGTGACGTCATAGTTGACGCCTGATGTGTAGGTGACGTTGACACCTCGGCACCGTTTGACGCCGAGGTGGCGTCGTTTCAGCTCGGACGACCCTGTATCAACATCGGCTTGCAGGAAGAGAATGAGGCCGCTTTGAAATGGAAGCTTGGTGGATTTTAATAATTGTGCTGCTTGTGTTGCGGCGCATCGCACGCTATCCAGACCATGCCCGGCCATTTTGGTGGGGCGTGGAAGCGCGTCTGCACAAATGTCGCCGATTGTGACTTGCCGGCCGTGCGGTGCTCGAACGATTGTCGAAATTCGTTGCAGTGCGAGCATTCTGCTCAATTTCTTTTTTAAGTTCCTGCTTGTTCACCTTTCAGATTTCTTGAGTCGCCTTCTTTTGCACACGCATTCGCGGATCTGCTCGTGTGGCATTGATTGGACAGTTCGCACATCGGCATCCATCATGCACACAGTTTTGCAGCTCTGAGTAGTCGTGTGGTTTTCTTCCTGGACCCGTGTTTCAGTTCCGATGCAATGACCGATTTTCAAAATGGACGATTGTCTATCTTTACCAAGTAATGCTGCAATTATCGATTGCTTGAGTGGTCAGTTCCCTGATGACCAAAAATGCAGTTGCGGCGGCTGCCTCGAAGCCGCCAAGCGGTGGCCTTCCACGGCGGATACAGGCCGATGTCTCCAGCACTCTAGCTTCGATGTCCACGCCGTGCATCACCGCGTCGCTCAATCCACGTGCATGAGCCATATGCGCAATTCTTTGTGCACTTCATTTCAGAGCCACTCCGCTTTATCGACCCGCCGATTTTTGTGCTCTCGGCCCCGGGATTTTCTCATCCGGCACATCTACTGACCCATTTTGTTGTCTTTCCTGTCTTAAGTTATTGCCAGTCAGTTTTCTATTTCCTGAAGAGCAAATTGTACTTGATAACGAATGAATTCCGTGAAAGCAATGAGCTTCCGTCAAAGTGCAATTCGAAGCGTGAGCATTCCATCGCCAATTGTAATTCATGGATTTTGATGATGAGCATTCCATGCATCTTCGCCAACGGCCACCAGAGCGCAGGACACCCCCGACACCAGATTGGCAAGGAACGATTTGGCGCGGTAATGGCAGCCTTTGGTCCAGCCCGGTAATTGGTGCATTCGTGGACGTCGCTGCCAGAATTTTGAACTTCGATTCTCATCGTTGATTGTCTTGAATCAATGTTGGCAGAGTTCATCGTCATTTTAGGGGCTTCTTCTCGACTCCTGTGTGAGATTTATGAATTGCTCCTTTGCAATGTATCAACAACAAAACTGTCTTTGTCGACACAAAATCTGGGAAATTAAAGATGTAACGAATTTGCTCAGACGACCTTCACAGGTTAGATGTAGATTCATGTGACTCAGAGTTGTCTTGGCATCAAGGAATTCCATAGTTACTGTGCAACTATATATATATATACACAATTCCCAGTATTGAAATATTTCTTATTGCTGATGGAATGTGGGTATTTTGTTGATTGTTTCATAAACACTCAAAATTTAATGTCTATTCTCATCATTATTGATTCTCAAGTGCAGATATGTAACACATGCAGCTGCAGATGTGGCCGGATTATGGTGCTAATAACCAATTAACATGTTTGGTCCTGTTGCCTGTGTATTTGCTGCATGGCATTCAACTTGCATCTGCATATTTTGTTGCCATTTGCCTATTCCGTGTCTGGCGTAAAAGCAAACGGTTCTTCGACAAGTGCACCATGGTGGGCACCATGCTGGCCAGCAGCCCATTCAAGTGCCGTTCCAAGTATGATAACTTGCTGTCATGCATTCCCATAAAACAGGAGACTAAATCTATGGCGCACCTGCGCACATGTCAAGAAAACGCTGTGCCGCTCATTGAAAAATTGATGCACATCCCGAATTCACGCAGTCCCGAGTAACGCCACCTTCACGCGAATGCCCACGCCTGCGTATCCAGCGCCTGATTGACTCCAAATAGATATGTCAGCACATCCTGCCTCGGGTTTCCATTAAGCCCACGGTCCTTTCCGAAGGGCCGTGGCCCTATTGCACGCCCCAGAGCGAATTCGCTACAATTGTAGCAGTTCACAGAGAGCACCACGAATCGATTGCTTATTGTGGGGTTGGGGGCACAGTGGTCGCTCAAGAGGCTTAAACTTCAGCCAAACTACTGCAGCGTGTCACGTGGATGCCCGGGCCGGCCACACCCACATTAAGCTCATTAAGCACATTAAGCACATTAAGCTCTCAGCGACTGCCAGCTAGCAAAGCCCACAACGCTCGACTGGCCCCGTGCACGCACGCCCCCACATCGGCCCCCATGCACCAGCATCTGTGCGCACACCGTGGCCCCCGCCACAGCCTCCCCAGGCACAGGAGCCTTGTTTGGCCAACTGTTTTTAACAAATGCAAGCGACGGACTCGACGGAACGCCGCACAGCAAGCGCATCGCGATTTGAGCAAGAAAGCAGAGAACGGAAACTTTAATGTTCATGAGATGCCCGTTAGGTGCCCACAGTACGGGCACAGTGTTCCAGAGACAGACCATGAGCACGGTCACGGTAACAGAGACGTGACAGAATCAAAATGTCGAGAACAAAGAGTAAGCAATAGAAATTAGAAAGCAACCCTGAATAAACATTGCCGGGAAATTCATGAATTGCTGTTCAGAAATTTCAATTCGACAATAAAAACAATCAGACCAGGATTGGGTGTGGGCGGTGTGGGGGGGTGGGGTAGGGTGTGGGGCGTGCATGTACTGTGTCGCCGTCGCCGTCGCCGTGACCATGCTCGCGGTCCGGATACCTAAACCTGTCCTAACCCTAACCCTAACCCTAAAACTCACCCTGAACTAAACCTAACCCTAAAACTGAGGTTAGGACAAAGTGTGCACGTGACTTGGTGCAAGCAGTCACCGATTTGGTGCAGGCAGTAATATTATTTCAACACCCTCAGTACAGGCCGCACGGGCGCCCGAAATGCGCCTCGTCAGGTCCACGCCCTGCCCCTCACAAGGCGCGCCCACCCCGCCCTCCCCGCCCAGCCAAGTCGCCACACGGCCCAGCGTCGCCGCCGCCATGGCCCTCGCCCAGCTGCACCAAGACTCCCTGGATCGATTCGCGGACGCCCACCGGCATCTGGGCGTGGC